TATGGTCATTAGGTTCATTTAAGTTTCTATTTAAAAAAGTAATTTTTAAAATTTGAGAATCTTTTGTGTTTAAAGGAATCACCATGGAATTTTATTTATGTTTTAATTTTTTTATATTTTATCTTTATTTGATTTACTGATCAGCGCAGCAGATTTATGCCCATTAGTGTTTTTTAATTTAGTACCTATATTCTATGGATAGTGTATATAGGGGCTCTATGAAAAGATTGCGATGACGCAATGTCATCTTCGTTTTTTTTGAACCCCCTGTCTGTTTAACTCTTTATTTTATAAATATCATTGTAAAAAGAGAAGTGTTTACTTTATATTGTACATACAAAAACGGTGATTGTTGACAAGAATTTACTGTCTTTGTTCTTCGGACATATTTTTTTTTTCCAGTATATATATATTTTTGATTATTTATTGTTAAACAGCAAAATATATGTAAAAAAAAAAAAATTAATTAACTTTAAAAAATAATTTATTATTTATTTCTGTTCTTGAACACACAATATGTATTTGGTCACAAGAGAAAAACAAGTTTTTTAAGACACCAACTTTTTCAAACAGTTGACTTTTTTTTTCAATGTAAAAATGTTTATTTTTGTTTTTTTAAGAACAACTTTCTACATATTTTTTCCTTTTTTATATTTTGTTTTTTAATCAAATCTATCAATTTTTTATTCTTCACAACTTGTCCTTGTTGCATATTATTGACATAAGTCTTCATTGAGCATTTATTTTTAATGTTTGTGTTCTCAAAGTTTTTACCTGTCATGGTTCTTTGTTATCCAACTCAAAATCACAACTTTAGTTTTTATATTTTATATGAGCACTTTGGTAATATGAGCATACTTAAAGATTTATTAGATGTAAGCTGTAAAGTTAAAGTTGATTTATGTTTTTCGAATCGACTTTATGTGGTGATAACAGGAATCAGTACAATTAGTGTAAATTTATACGCAGTAATTAGCGGATATCATCTAATTAAAACGCTTTTAAATTTTTTGCTATGTTAAAAAACTTCATCACGCGTAAATAATTCTGTGGCGCGATATTTTGGTGCTAAAATAATGAAATTAATTTTTTCATAAAGAAAGATATATTAGCTAAAAATCCATTTCATTTTTGTTTGAAAAATAATGCATAGAAATATTTATTTTTGACTTTATTTAAAGATACCATTTTTGTGTAATATGAGCATGCTCAAATTACCCAGTGCGTTTCATTGAAATTGCTTAGTTTAAAGTCCTAAAATAGCAGTGGTTTTTAATTGCTTCTTGAATAAAAACAAAACATAGTAAAAAGTTTTAATATATTAACAATAATAAATATTTTTCTGTAACTTATATCTAAAAAATCTTAATTTTTATTGTTCAAAGGTTTGACAAAATTGAAAAAACAATGTATTAATTTTTTTTTTTTTTTTTGCTGAAAACATAGTAATATTGTTTCAACAAAATGTAGCTTAAAATTTGATCTTTTAATGATATGTTTTGTTAATCACGAATCCTTATATTCCAACAATTAGTTCTATTAAGCAGGTTGGTCTTTTTTTACTTAATTAATGCTATTTTTTGAGCTAATTTAAAGTGCTCATATTACCAAGGGGTCAGGGTAATACGAGCACTTTTGCTACTTTTTTAAAACCTCTGTGTTTTTAAGAAAAAATGTCAAGTGCCCAAATATCTAAATAGATTATGATTAGGGATCCCTAAAAATTGTTTATTTGCAAAAATTTTGGATCCAGCATATTTATTTTTGAAAATATTCCAATTTTTGCTTAAGGTGCTCATATTACCCTAATCTACCCTAGCAGATAGAAAATATAAAAAAACATCTAAAACACCTTAAGCCCTTTTGATAAACTAAACAAGAAATACTTTGGTTACTGTCTTCTACGGGTACTGCGATAAAAATTTCAATTTTTTAAATTAAACATTAATTATTTGTAAATATTCACTTAGATAAAAGATATACCTTGAGATCCCCCAAATAATCCAAATATCATTGAAACAAGACTTAGTATAGTTGAAATTGCAGCTCCCATTGGGCCTGCTAAACTAGCTAATGTTCCGACAATACTGAGGCCACCAAGAAGCATATCTTGCCAACTTCCACTACTTATGCCACCAACAAGTTGAGTTAAACCTTCTCCAACTCCGCTTATACTTTCTATAATTTCAAAATTTTAAAATAAATATTAAACTACTGTTTAAACAATTTGATAAGTTTTGGTTCATTTGAATAACATTACAATTATTTATGACATCAAAATATAAAATTATCTTGCCTGCAATTTCGTCATTTTTTCCAAACGCTTTTATAGCTTCCTTTGCTTTTCCAGCACTTGCTTTGAAACTTTCCTTCTTTTTTTCATACTTTGATCCTCCTTTTGGATTTAATGAATCAGACTTCTGAAATTCAAACATAAAATAATAAATAATAATTGCAAAATATAAAATTAAAATCTTTAAAATCAAATTTCCAATAATAAAACATAAAAACGGTCATTCATAAAACATTGATAAAGTTTACTGTTATAACTACAATTAAATAGTGTTTTTTAAGCCCGATAGAACTTTAAATTGTAAATTTTAATATAAAAAATTAAGTTTTTTATAAAATATTTTACTTTATTTGTTTCAGTATTCTCTAGCAAATAATCTTGAATAGACGTCTATTCATTAATCATATTCGTGAGTCTAGACTCACGTTTGAACAACGATACAAGATTATTAAAATTAACTTTGAAAATAAATCGACCATTCGGGCAACTAATTGACAACTTCCATTTTTACGAAGCTCATAATCGTCGATCTGAGCAAGCAATCCGTCGAACTGTAGATAGATTTTGTACTACCTTCTCTCTAGAGGGTTCAATAACATCAACTCGTTGAAGGTATGTGCATACTGAAAGGAATATCGCTGCTGTAAACAAAAGTGTGGAAGAGGATCCAAGTTTATCAATTCATCGTCGGTTGCAGAATTTGGGGTTCTGTCCGTCCATGGAATAGAATTTTGAGTAAAGACCTTAGTTTACATCCGTATAAGATCTATTTAGTACAAAAATTAAAACCGCGAGACCATTATATGCGTTCCTTTGACGATTGGGCTCTAGAGCAGTTTGTAACTGACCCGTTGTTTTATTGCCAAACTGTGTTCAGCGAAAAAGCTCATTTTTGGTCTAATGGTTTTGTTAACAAGAAAAATTGCCGCATATGGAGTGAGACTAATTCACAGTGCTGTTTACACGCTGGTGGCATCATCGGACCTTATTTATTCAAAAATGAAGCCGGAGCTCGGGTTACGATCAATGGAGATCAATACTGCACTATGATCAATAGTTTTTTGTTTGAGAGTATAGATGGTTTTTTTTTTGTGGAGCTATGTGAAGTCACAGGTTTATGCTGATAGACCAGAAAAAATTGATATCTTGCATGCCAGCATTGTTCGTGTTATTCGTGACATAAGACCATAAGTTCTTGAGAAAGTGACCCAAAATTTTGTTTTGTCAAGAACAGCCGCGGTCCCCATATGTCCGAAATTATTTTTAAATGTTAGTTGATCTTTCAAATGAATAAAAAAGTTTAATTAAAATTTTATTTTTTTCCAATTTGAAGTTCTTAAAAAAACACCCTTTACATACAGTTACCTTTTCCGAATCATTTCATTAATATATATATATATATATATATATATATATATATATATATATATATATATATATATATATATATATATATATATATATATATATATATATATATGAATCATTTTTACACCTGTTTTCGTGAATTGAATGCATAACTTATAATTTTTACTAAATAATTAAATTTAATAATTTAAATATTATATATGTGTATTTTGATATAAAATAGAAAAATAAATAAAGTGTATAAAATATGTATTTATTAGAAAATTATATGTTATTTAATATATATGTAAATAATAGCTAGAAAAAGAACCGTTATAAAAATTACTTAATTTTTTGAGGAAATAAAAAGTCTATTAACAAAAATCTTTAAAAAAAAAACAAAAAAAAGGATAAACTAAGGCTAAAAAATCATACATATCATAACCTTAACATAACCTGAAATCATACATATCATTGACATAACTTAGGCTAAAAAATCAAAATTAAGACAGGAAAGAATTAAAAGAACCGATATTTGAAAAACAAGACAAAATGAAAACAAGAAAAAAGACAAGAAAAAACAAACAAGTAGTATGAAATTTTTATAAAAATTTTTTAAAACCTAAATTTAATTGATGTTTTTGCAGCATTTTATAAATCTTTTATATGTGATACTTTAAATTGTACATTTTTAAAGTAAATGGAGTTTTCATTTGATTTTTTTTAAGGAAGATTTTTCGATATCAAAGGACCTAATAGAAATTGCAATAGGAAAGTTTCCTTAGGGAAGCAGTTTGATTTTAACAATTGTAAAATGTATAATAACATCAGTTGTTATCAGCTTTGGAAATAAAGTTTTCCGATATGACTCAAAGAGTACTTAAAAAACATGATAACAGCATGTAAGCCAGAAAGAAGTTTTTATAAATTTGCATTGCATTAGTCTCATAGATTTTGAATCTCAGAATCTAAAGTAGAAATGAGTTTTTAAATATTATATGCCATGCCTATTCAGCAAGTTTCAACTCTAGCCTGCCTACAGGGTCGAAAACACCGGGGGGCCAGAAGAGCACGTGCCCCCCCCCCCCCTACTTTTTTTCTGAATTCCTTTTCTTTTTTTTAAAAGAAAATGTTAAATATAGAGGGTCTTTTTTTTAGAAATTAAATGCCTCCACTTTGAAACCCGTGTCGTCAATCATGGCCTATTCATCTAGTTTCAAATTTTGAGAGCTGCAAACTAGACAATGTTTTATGCTGAATCAGTCTGGTTTTAACATAATATTTCTTATTTGGATAATGAGTATAAAAAATATTATGCATTGATTGTTTGAACAAGTAAATTTTCTTTTTTAAATTGTTTTTTTAATCATTCATTCTTTCACCATTGCTTAAAAGATGTCATTGTTAAAATAGTTTGAATTTATATTACCAATGTATATAACTATATAAGTGGAGAGGGCTCGCCTTGTAAGCAAGAAGTACCGAGTTCCTATTTATAGTAGGGGCAGTATCACTTAACGAAATTTCCAAATACCGTGAAAGCTATTTTTGTAGCTTGATCTACCTACTTTTAGATTATATTATGTTTTTTGGTAAAAAATGATGGGAAGAGTTGATCTTAAACATTTGCAATTATGTGTATATTTGAGCGGTTGGGAAGGGGGGAGTTTAATTTTTTTTTTTTTTTTTTTGTTCTTTTTATTTATTCAAAATAAGTTTTACCATATAAGAAAGAATAAGATTCATAAAATACATATAGTAAAAGTTACAAACTTTGTTAGCGTTAAAATAAGAAGAACGCGGATACTCGCAGAAGATCATAAGATCTTGTCATCGAGAACCGCCTAAACAGATTTTAAATAAAAAATAATCCTCTAATAATTCATATATAAATATTCACGCTTAAATAAAAATATAATTTTTTACACATTTAATTCTATAAAAACATACAAATATATATACTCACACAAACACGCATACCCACATACACATACACACACATATATATATACATACATACATACACACATATACACACATATATATATATATATATATATTTATATATATATATATATATATATATATATATATATATATATATATATATATATATATATATATATATATACATATACATGCACACATACATATACACATACATACATAAACACATACACAATATACATGCACATACATATATATATATATATATATATATATATATATATATATATATATATATATATATATATATATATATATATATATATATATATATATATATATATATATATATTATATATATATATATATATATATATATATATATATATATATATATATATATATATATATATATATATATATATATATATATATAAGTTAAGAAAAAAGATTTCATATATATAAATTACGATAAAAAGATTTCTTAAGAGTATTAATATAAAACAAAACAAACTTAAAAATATATAAGAATGTTTTCAATTAAGAAAATAATTTTTTTTAACTTTCTTTTAAATAAGAGAAAGCTCCATTCTTGAGAAAAATCAAAAAGTTTTAATACTACTTTGTTCCATAAAAATGCTCCTCTAAATGAAATGCAAAACTTACCAAAATTAGTTTTAAAATTATGTTTTTCATGTACTTTAAATATAAAACGTATTTGTAATTATACGTTTTTTATTTAAAGTACATGAAAAATCTTAAAATGTTTTTAGTTACAATATCTCTAATAAATACTTTTAAGTTTATATACCATTTAGAGACAAGAATGTTGACTTATAAAAGAACAGAAAGACTTTAAACAAACACAAAACCATAAAGGCAATAATGTGGTTTTAAAAGATGAAGGTTATTTGATGAAAAATAAAATCTTGAAAGATAAAACACAAGTTTTAAAAAATAGACAAGAGGTTTTTAATTTTTTCAATGATCAGAACGGATTGCATGTTTAAAAAATGTGGCGCGAAAAAAATTTTGCAAAATAGAAAGTGAAGTAAAAAAAGAATTTAAGAGCGTTTTTCTGTAAGAATCAGACAAAAACACTAAATTTTTAAAGTGACCTCTTTCAAAATCCCTATTTTTTTGATATGTTGTTTCTATTCATATTAGAATCTCAAATCTAAAAAATTTTCAAGAAATAATAATTGGTTCTCTATATATTAGATGTCAAACTTTGACTAAATTATTCGAAATATTGACCAAATGGTGTTGAAGGCATGTTTAAACTCGAAAAAAAAAACAAAGTAAATACTTTACAATGAGTATTTCACTTGATCATTGTTTATTGGCTAGTTCAGAATAAAATTAGTAAAAAAAAAATTTTTCCTCGACTAAATATCATGCTTAATGTCATTTTTAATCTTAGTTTTTATTTGAAGCCGCGAATATCCTATAACTTTCTTTTGTTATTATAAATCTTTACCATGTTAAGTACCTAAAAGTATGAAAACACCTATGGGGAAGTAAAGGCTTAGCCGCAAAATCTAACTCAAAAACAAAATTTTAATCTTTTGATTGTGACATAATAATGGTTAAAGCCCTGGGTTTACAAAATTCAATTAGACGTAATGTAAACATGTTCAATTATTTATCAGAACTAGCAGTAAGAAGTAACCCGTAAAAAAAAAAACCGCGTATAGAAAAGCCTAGAAACTACTTTAAAATAGAAAAGCCTAGAGAATGACGTAACTCGACTAATAATAATAATATTAAATTAGCGTATTCATATTATCAGAAAATAATAGTTTTAGGGTATAGGCATATTTGAGAGTTATTGAAAAAAAAGTATATGTTGTTTTACAATAATTTTCTTTTTATAAAACTTTGTTATAACTTTCTTAAAAAACTTCTTTTAGCTCATTTTTTCATAATTTTATTAGCTTTTACAAAATCATTTGTTGCTAAAAAAGTAATCACCGTGGTGATTAATTAGAGTTAGAAGACTTAGTTTACATAAGATGTCATCATCTAAATGTACTATGCTATCTCTCGATTCGGCCATTGATAACAGTTTGTTCCAAATGAAGCACTTTTCATACAGTCAATTATAGTGCCAACATCAGTTATCTGAAAATATCTGGATTTATCTGGATAAATAAAACTTAATTTCTATAATAATTATCTATTTATAGTAAAAGTTTTTGGTTTAACAATATATACAAAATTATCTTTTAACCATATAAAAGAAAGTTTGGTTGCAAGTTTATGTATTTCTTCTCGGCTTCTTCATTTTCAACTTTATTTTTATTGTCTTCTTCATAAGTCGGAGCATGCAATTTTCCAATTCTTAATACCTTACTCCATCTAGAGAATAAATATCTTATTTCTTGGCTTGAAACAAACTTATTAGCTGTAAGATATTTTCTTATTACTGTCTTTACATCTACTGGTGACATCTTATTTCCTATATTTTCTTTATTTATTAAGTATTAATAAAGAAGTTTATTTAGCTTAATGGAAAAACAAAAAGTCTTTATTGTTGGCAATTCCCAACTTAATTTATGGAATTTTTGAAAACACATGTTGTTTATTGGGATAGGCGCGACCTTAACCAATGCAGTTGTAGAATTAGAATGAATTTTAGTATAAATTTTTTTTACTTTATCAAAAAAAAAAGATTGTTCAGATCTTTTGTGCTGTGTCAGCATTTTCTAACTCAATAATAGTTTCAAAAGATTCAATAGAACATGTCTCCTGGCAAAATCGTTGTGTATTTAAACCACAATTCTTTACCTTCTTTTTTCCACTCAGGGTTTTTCACTTAAAGTTTCCTTTCGTGCTAATGAATGGAACAAGCAATTCAATTGATGATTCAACTGAAAGGTTGTTGTAAATAACTTTAACTCCGTCTCCAATTTCATAGTATTGCCACAAAGCCATGAAGTTTTCTTAGAACTCATACGAGTAGTTGTTGCTTATATTTGGAATTTTAGGACCAGTTAAATAAACATACTCAATTTTTGCTACACTAGCCGCACCATTCTTGACGCCATAACCATATTTCACTGATTTTGCAACATCTACTGCTGTCACTATGTCATTGCCAGTATTGCTTCTTAGTATTGCTTTAGCAGATGCCCTTTCCATATCGAACTGGTCTTTTCCACAGCAAGGCTCGTTAAAGTCGTACGTAGAAGTTTAAAATTTTTAATTTTGCAGAGGTTGTACATAGATTTAACTGAATAATTAGCATTATCTGATTTTGCAAAAATATTTACTATTTCTGGCTCATCTAGGCAAAACTTATTTAGAACTGATTTCGCAATAGAGATAACAGAGCAAACACCATGATCATGGTGTTTGCTCTGTTATCTCTATTGCAAAATCAGTTCTAAATAAGTTTTGCCTAGATGAGTGCAGAGTGCCCAATCATGCATGATTGCAGCGATATAAAGTTGTTTGATAAACATGCTTTTTGAGAATGTCATTTTTTTAGTAAAAACAAACATCTATATGCATACTTATGCCTTTTTTTCCAAAGTAGTCCTTCTGACCCTCTGTAAACTTCACGGGTAATGTTTTCTATGAATAGTCTTTGAACCAAAGTGCTGTTTTTTCATCTAGTTGTTTATATGCATCATTTTTTGCTTTTTTCTATTGTGAATCTCTTAATAATTGTTTCATATATTCTGTGAAACTGCCTATTGATAGTTGAACATCATCACCAACATTGCATCTACATTTGGAGTAGGTCACATGTAAGGAACACAATCATTTCATTCAAAACAACAACACGTGTCGTAAGTAATTTTTGTAAACATTTTTTTTTTAATTTCTTTAGGTACCTCAAGAAGTCCTTACGGACTTATCACAGAGTACCGCGGATGAGTATTTAATTGGAAGTTTACGCCTCCTTTCAACCGATGTCGATGAACCACGGATCCTTTGATCAAAATGATTTAATCAAAATGTTTTTAAAAAAGTAAAAAATCTTAACTAACTAAAAAAGATTTATTATAATATAAAATAATGATACTTAAAATCATACTCAGGAAACATATTCGGAGTAAAAATTATACTCAAAAAATATCATAGAAAAAATATCATAAATATAAAATATATAGAAATATCATTCAAGCGCTTATAAATAAATATAGAAACACCTAGAAAACTCCTATACTATTTATATCTTATTTTCTCTGAACTATTGCAATTTCCCACAGATATTTTTTATAAATAAGGTAGATTAAAGGTCAATACAAGTTTTTTTAAATTGAAGTTTACAGTGAACCCAGGGGCTTTAACCATAATCGTGTCACAATCAATGCGTCAAAAGATTAGAATTTTGTATATGAGTTGGTTTTGTGGCTAAGCCTTTACTTCCCCATAGGTGTTTTTATACTTTTTGGTACTAAACTAGGTAAAGATTTATAATAACAAAAAAAAGTTATGGGATATTCGCGGCTTCGAATAAAAACGAAGATCAAAAATGACAAAAAAATCATTTTTTGCATATTTTGAAGCATGATATTTAGTCAAGGAAAAAAATTTTTTTTTACCAATTTTATTAATTTTTCGTTTGAACAAGCCAATAAACAATAATTGGGTGAAATACTCATTGTAAAGTATTTACTTTGTGTTTTTTTTTTTTTCGAGTTTAAACAACACCTTCAACACTATTTGGTCAATATTTCGAAAAATTTAGTCAAACTTTGACATTTAATATATAGAGAATTAATTATTTTTTTATTATTTTATTATTTTTTGAAAAAATTTTGGAACTGAGCTTCTAATATTAATATCAACAACATATTAAAAAATTAGCAATTTTAAAGAGGGTCACTATTGAACTCTGCCTGATTCTTACAGAAAGTCACTCTTAAAGGTTATAAGAGTCTATTAGAAAACAAACAAAGCTTGTTTTGTAAAAAATTTGAGGAGACAATAACACGGCGATTTTTTTGATCGCTTGCTATGATTACGAAATTTTCGGATACGGATGTAGCGTAAACAGTTTATTTTATTTTTACGCGCCAATTTTCTCCAAAAAACCTATTAAAAAATTCATAATAGTTTCTGAACTATCTTTTTACCAATAAAATAACTTAATATCAAACTCGTGGATAGACTCCACCCATGATGCATTTTATCATCTAAAAATTCACACATGGCTTCATAATGTGTATATCTAAAATTCCAGTTTACAACATATACCTTCTGATGACTGATATCGTAAATATATACGTATTTCATTAAAAAACAATGATTTTTATATCTATTTTCCTTAAAACTACTATTTAACTGTAATTTAGACATATAGTTGTAAACTGGAATTTGAGATCCAATTGAAATTTATCTTTATAAGTAATAATATCGATAGGTAGGGAAACCGACATTTAGTCTATCCAGCTAATTATTTCTAGTTTTAGTACTAGTTTTTTAAATAAATTGAATTTCAATATCTATATAGCTTTTAAAGAGCAGATTTTATAAAAAACCACACAGTATATATTTACAATGAAAAATACATAATATACAAAAATACATAAATATATATATATATCTATAGCCCTAATTCAATGATAAAGATGGTAATTTTTTGCAACCTTTTACAAAATTTAAAAAATTGCGGACGTTTTGGATCAAAATTCGTATTTCTGAAAATAAAGCTATAGGAATTTTTATGGCAAAAAAAAATCGCTGTTTAGATACTTGAGATAATAAGAAAGACAGTATCTCCAGCCTTTTGGAAAATTTAAAAAGTATATTGTTCTTATTTTTTATTCACTATCTGTAAAGTAAAATAAATTACATAAAATAGCTCTTGAATTAGCTCAAACACCAAAGTCTCCAAGTTAACAACAAATAAAGATTTTTGGACCTGAAAACTGATTTTTCTTTGATTTGTTAAAAATGATATTACATTAGACAGAGTGGCTGAAAACCAGTTTATCAAACTGGAACTTATTAAGGCTAGGTGCTATATGTATATATTGCTATATATTATATACTTATTTCCAGATTAAAAAAAATTAAAAAAAAAATTTACTAGGCTTTTTGTTCTACATTAGAGTGCAGAACGTGTAGAAACACGTTCTGCACTCTAATGTAGAACAAAAAGCTAGTCAAGAACAAAATTCTAGTCAAGACCTCATTGAAACTTTTATAAAACAAAAGTAGACGGAAAAGTAAATTTAATGGTTGTAGCTTATCATTATTTAAAATTTAAAACAAATGAATCGAGTTTTTTTTCAATTTTGAAAAAAGTATTATTATTTTAAGTTAATACAAATAAAAAGTTCATTTTTAACCGCTTTGCCATTTCCGAAAAAATGAAATTTGCTTTTTAGTCATGCTCTTAATATATATATATATATATATATATATTATATATATATATATATATATATATATATATATATATATATATATATATATAATATATATATATTAAGAGCATATATATATATGTAAACAGAAATTTATAAAAAATTTTATTATTTTAAAATGAGTTTTGCAATAATTTGTCGCAAAATAACAAAACAAAACAAAAAAAATAGTAATTACCTCAATTATTGCATCGGCAAACTTTTCAGATGAAATATTTGATTCTTCTTTTGCGTGTGAAGTATAGATGACGAACCAGCAAGAGACAACTATGTATAACCGAAATTCCATCTGTATTATAATTTTTTCATAAAATATAAATCAAAATTATATTTGTTCAATTAATCTTTTCTAATTTATGTGTAATCTAAATTTAATTAATAAACTAAACCTAAGGAGTAAGGAGGGGGGAAGAACACACACCCGTAAAATCGTCTCTGTTGTTACTGAGACTTGATATATACAATGCAGTTTGTAAACTGGATTCACTTCTTCAAAAGTAATTGCTACCAAATGAAAATAAATTTTTTCAGCAGTATTTGACCACTGTTATACATTCAAAAAAGTTAGAAAACTCATAGTGGAAACAATATTTCCATAATTAAAATTACTCTGATCAAAATTAAATCCGGCTGTAAAATAAATTCACTGTGAAATAGTTAAATGGGAAAAAGATTAAATAATTATAATTTACAAGTTTGTCATCAATGTAGCAAAAATATCAAAGCAAGGGTTTTTAAAAGAATCTTAAAGATTTTATTATTTATTATTAGGAAAGAAGGTATTATTCATTTTTTAGAAAATAAACTTCAAACCAAACTTAATTAGATAGTTTGTACCTTGCACACAAATAAATTACCTTTTAAGCACTTAATGTCAGTTGATGGAAAAACAATATCAAACAATACGTTTTCTAGCAATATTGGTAAACTAGTCCCTATTTCCAATAATCTCAAAATTTCCACTAATGTAATTCAATTTATAGATGTAAAAAGTGATTTATTAGATATCAATGAAGGTACTTTAAAAAACTTATCTAGTGATCAAAGACATCTATACCGGATAAAAAAAGCTGTTAAAGATAAAATAAAGCCAGACGATATAAAAGAAATTCAATTTGATCCCCACAATCATGCACGCTAGTTAAACATGGCAAGTAGGCTTTTCAGAATCTGAAGTTCACACCATGGACTAAATGGAAGCAATGCTTCCATTTAGTCCAAAAACTGTACAAGGTGTTTTAAATACTCAATTTAAAACACCTTGTACAGTTTTGTGTTGGTGTATACTCTGTATTATGGTTTGAAGTTAAGATAAGAACATTTTTTGTTTACTTTGATAATTTTTACTTGTGTGTATGAATAATTTTATTAATAAAAAATGTTTAAGTAAAAAAAAAATGGACAAACGGACCATAATATATTATCAAACAGCTGAAACTTTTTCAAAAAATGAACTTAAATTTTCAGAAAACAGTTTTATCCTATGTTTGTTGCTCTGCCTGGAATGCTCACAGTAAATCCATACTTCAAGCACTACTTTGTAGCAAAGATAAAGAAGATAAGATGTTTGTAGTGAAGACAATAGTTTCGATAAGAAAATTAAGTTCTCTAGGAAATACTGCAGTTAAATCAAGACATTTTCCAAAAATTTACACCAAGGCTCAAACTATTATTCAACTAATTGATTGGAGTATTGATATTTTTGAAATATTGCTCACATGCAAGATTAGTAAAGAAAAACTTATTAAGTTCTTAGAAATCCCGATGGAAGTTTCAAAATTCCCTGTACACGGACAATCTGTAGAAAAAATGTGAAGGAAGTTACAAGAGCTTCTGACATAGTTTACAGACAAGAAAGGCCGGATGGGTTTATAAAGGCCAAATGACTTACAGAGAACTTCTTCCTGTTTTAGAATCTAAACAGAGTTAGCTTAAGCTTTTTTAAATAATAAATTTAATAATTTAATAATATTTCGTTTTGTTGGATAATTAGTTTAATCAAGTAAATTCATAAAAATTACATATAAATAATTTTTTACGTTTTTTATTGGTTGTATTTGGAGTTGTTTTTAGTCAACCGGAATAACCGGTCAAAAATTGCGGCGAACCGTGTGTACCGTGCATTTTTTAACCAAAACCTCGGTTTTTGAGGTTTAAATTTAAAAAACTTAAAATTAAAAAAAGCAATTATTGTAAGCATTTATTGTAAAAAGATGAAAAATAATCCGCGCTAGTGAACACTCTAACACAAAATCCTTCTTTAGTAATTTATTTCAGCACGGTATACTTTGATTAATAAATAAACGGAACATGCAATCATAGATTTTTTTTTATTAATTTTTTTTATTTATTTATTTGAATTTTCATGCTATATTTGTCAAAAAAAAAGTTTTTATCCGAAGATATTGTTGGCTTAGCATTGGAACAGCCACAGATAGTCATTAAGAGTAATCCAAAGTAGCGTCCGTTATTAACCAACATTTTTCTGTACAGGAGTACTACTCAAGCGCTGAGTTGGCTGTCGCAGGATTTGACCCCGTATTGTACAAAAATCCGGGTATTAACTTTTCGTCAAAAGCTCTAGCCAACTGAACTATCCAGCTCAAGAATAAACTCATGAATAACACCAGCTCATTTTTTGATCTTACAAAATCTTTCAATACCATAAAATTCTGATTGAAAAAATGAATAAATATAGTATAAAAAATAAAACTATTAAATGGTTCACCAGTTATTTAAAAATATGCAACAAAGTGTCATAATCGACAACATTTCTAATTCAGAGCTATTTAACATAAAATGTGGTGTTTCACAGGGATCAATTCTTGCCCCCATGTTGTTCTTTATGTTCCATGTTGTACATTAATTACCTTCCTAAAGCCTCTACAAATCTTGATTGCATAATGTTTACAGATGATACAAATCTGTTTTATTCATCTTCTTTTATCGATGACTTTTTTGAGAAAGTCAACCTAAGCTTCAACAACTTAAAATATTGTTCAGTGCTAATAAGGTATCAATAAACGTACAAAAAACTAAATTTATTTTATTGCATTCAAAGCAACAAAAAAAAGGCACTTCTCTCAATTCTTCCCTCTCTAAATATCAATTTCAACAATTTTGAAAGAACCCAAACAATTAATTTCTTGAAGTGGTTATAGATAAAAATGTTTCATGAACAGCCCAAATAAAGACCACCAACACTCAAATATCTATCTAAATAAATCTTGGTTTACTTTTCAAAGCTAGACCATTTTTTTTTAAATAACTTAAAAAATTCTTTACTTTTCGTTTATACATAGTCATCTTACACACGCTAAATTTTGGTTAGGGAAGCACACACAAGACAAAATTAATGTCTCTTTATCGACGACAGCAACATGCTTCTAGAAAAACATATCTTAAAAACAAACATACATATGCTAAACCTGTATTAAAAGAAATAAAGCGTCACATTTATCAAATTAATATCTATGCTAATATACTATTTATACCAAAATATAAAATGGGATTAGTTCCTTCACAATTTATAGAAAACTTCTTTCATTCAATAACCAATAAGTTTAACACTAGAGCAATTGGTGACATTTTCAAAATAGTTTGATTATCAAAACTCAAAAAATATGTAGCAACTTGAACTGCTCCTAGAAATTTTTTGGTATTCTCACTCATTAGGTTTAGCTACTTATATAACCTATATACTCATTAGGTTTATGACTTTTTTGTGACCTGATGTTCCTGGGTCATAAATCGATGAATATTTGTACAAAAGTAATGAAAAAAAACATTAAATCGAATTTATTGCTGAAAAATTAGTTTTATATTTATTTGTAATTATAAACCTAATTAGTTTTATGTTTATTCAAAAAATTAAATGCTTAAAAACTATTTAATAATACTCTAATTAAAAAAATTAGAACTAAAAAAATAGCAATCATAAAAGAAAAGAAAGAAAACCTCCAGCTTATAATTATTTTGTCTAACAAAGCATATAAATTGTATATAGAATTATACCCTTTAACTAAGCTGATTACTGCACAACGTTTTTTCAATATATACAGAAGCTTTTCATACTTTTAGAATTATTATTTAAGTTTTTTATAACTAAGAATTCTAAAAGTATGAAAAGCTTCTGTATATATCGAAAAATGTTGTGCAGTATTTAGCTTAATTAAAGGGTATAATTTTTTATACAATTTTTATGCTTTGTTAGGCAAAATTAATATAAGTTGGATTTTTCTTTCTTTTTAAAGATGTCAAAAAGATTTTGAAAATGTCTTAAAGACATTTGATTGCTCGTTCTGCACATTGATTTGTTTTGGGAATTTAAAGTCTCAATGGTTCCAGATTTCAACTTTTCACTGAGTTTAATGCATTTTCGTGACCTTTTAAGCTGCTACATAGCTTCCGATAAACATCTGTATTATACATTTAGTCCGTAAACTAATGGTCCGCCTATCTATTAGAAATAAATATACAAATGTCGAGTAGTGAGAAAAAGTAACATCCTAATTATTTATACTTAATTGCTGATCTTGTAAATAAATTTTTAAAAAAAGCATGCATATTATGGAGAAATTAGAAGTAGTTATAAAAAATGAAGTAAAAAAACTCAATTTAAGTGTCAAATAATAATCATTGAATAATGATCATCTGACCATATATTTTAATTTTGAGAAACGTGAAAATTATCTGAAAATCGCAGAAAAAAGTCGCAAATGTCAGTGGTTTGAAAGGCTGTGAAATTTCGTTTTAAGCGCCTTTGAGCAAGTTACTTGAAACTATAACAAATGAAATGTCTAAGTTTCAACATCGGTTTACTGTAACAAGATTTTGTGGTCTTCTTAGAGTATCCGCGTTCTTTATATAAATACTTAACTTTTTCACTTGTATTTTAAAACATGTAGTAAAGAAAAAAAAAAAAAAAAAAGTTCTGCCATAAAAGGGTATTCGATATTGGGCGACATGTTATTTCATTCAAGTTTTTCATTCTTTGCTACGTGATGGACTCGGTTAAGAACATGATGTTGACAACAAATGAATTGTGTTTCTTCCAGTTTCCATTCCGTTCTTTCTTTCAGCGTTTACATTCTTAGTATCCGCTATAAACATCGTTCAACTCTTCCATAAATTGTGTTCATCGAGTATAGCTGTTATACCTTTAAATTTAGTTTTTTCTTCATTTCTTTTTTAAGTTTAACAGACTTTTTAATAGTTGATTAATTATAGTCGAATATTAGCATTAATATAACAGTTTTTATTAAGTTTAATATCGCAGAAAGTAATTCTATTTTCAGCATTCTGTTTTGCGAAATAAACTTTT